AAAAAAACAGCCCTCTCCGCGGATCAGTCTTGCGCCTGCCAGGACCACAGCTCAGCCGCCATCGCCACGCGATTCGTGGCGCCGGATTTCGCCTCCCGACGGCGCGCGCACGCGCACGAGCTCCGCCACATATACAACTCGCGGAAGAAAAAGCGGAGAGAGAAAAGCTTTCAGATTTTTGTTTTGTGATTTGCACTGAGGGCGTACTCATGGGCACTTTTCCAACTCCGCTGGATGCACTTGACCGCAATCACGGCCACAGAGAACTGGAAAAAGTCCCAGCGTGAGTTCTCATGCCCTTAGAAAGGGGGAGAAGAGGGCGGAGGAGTACTTCAAATTTGAGATCGTTCTCTTTCCCTCCTCGTTTCTATTCTCCTTGTTGCTTCCGCGGCCGTATTGCGCGCCTCTATCCCGAGGCGTGGTCACGCAAGGTCATAATTAGCTGTATGTGGACGGAAATGTGAACGAAATACGAGGATAATCACCGTGCGTTCTGTTCCGGCGAACGCGGTAGCCTCCCAACGCGTGGTCACGCATGGTGATTATCGCCGTATCTAGACCGAAATTTGGCCACGCATGGTGATTATCGCCGCATCTAGAGCGAACTTTGGCCCAAGTACAGGGATAATGACCGAGCGTTCTATTCGGGTGAATGAAGACGGTAGCGTGGTCACGCATGGTGATTATCGCCGTATCTAGACCGAAGTGTGGCCCAAGTACAGGGATAATGACCGAGCGTTCTATTCGGGTGACTGAAGGCGCTAGTATTGCCGCTGTCTAGCCGTCGATCTGGCTAATCTACGGTATGGAAGTAGCCAGTCGTAGGGTTGGCGGAGTGGTGGGGACCACTCCCCTCCCAGCCAATTAGGGGAGACTAAGAAGGTGGTGCCACCTGGGCCACATTCTCCTCGGTTTGCTGGCCAACGCTTTCCTCTCCCTTCTCTATCTCCTGTGTCGTAGCTGAGCGGCCCTCTGTCCCTCTGCTCTCTTCCCCTCCCCCCTTCTTACTCTCTCCCTCTCCCTCTCCCTCTCTCTCTCTCTGTCTCCCCTCTCTGTGTCCCCCTCCCTGCCGCCGACGTCTCCCTCCGCCTTGCTGTTTGGGTCTCTTGCCCCCGCCCCGCCTTCCCCAAGCTTGTGGGAAGGATTACGGAAGGCGGAGAGCGCGAGAAACAGACAGCAGGGGCGGCAGGTGAGGAGGAGAGGAGGTGAGCGCGGAGGGGGAAACCTGCGGAGCAGCGTTGCGCCGGAGGCCGTGTGGCTGTGCGCGCGCGCGAGCGAGGAGAGCGCGGTAAAGGGGAAAGGGCAGCAACGAGGTAGCCATGGCGTCGACAGCTTGCGCGTGCGCTTCCACTGCTGCAGCGACGGCGACGGTAGCCGCTTCCGCCGGCGCCGCCGCTGTCCAGACTCCGCCTGCCCGTGCTCTCGCCTCCGCTTCCCCCAGACTGTCCTTCTCCTCCCCCTCTCTCTCTCGCCAGGCGAAAGCGCCCTTCAAAAGAATAGCCGGTAGGCCACCCCCCTCCCCCCACATCCCTCTTCCCGCCCCCTCCCCTCCCCTCCCCCCCCCCCCCGCCCCCTCCCCGCCTCGTTCCCCCTTCCCCAGCGCCTCGTTCTCCTTTCCCAGCTTCAAACCAACTCCTTTCCCTCCGCCGCCGTCCGCCTCCTCCGCCTTCCCCATCTCCTCCAATTTCTCCTTCTCCTCTCGATCGTTTCCTCGTTCTGTTTTCCTCCTCCATTTTCTCCATCTCCTCCTCCATCTCCTCGTTCTCCTCCATCTCCTCGTTGTCCTCCATCTCCTCTTCCCTCCGCCTCCTCCTCCTTCCGCCTCCGTTCGCCTCCTCCGCCTCCTCCGCCTCCTCCGCCTCCTCCGCCTCCTCCGCCTCCTCCATTTCCTCCATTTCCGTCATTTCCTCCATTTCCGTCATTCCCTCGTTCTCCTCCATCTCCTCTTCCCTCCGCCGCCTCGTCCGTCCGCCTCCTCCGTCCGCCTCCGTCCGCCTCCGTCCGCCTCCGTCCGCCTCCGTCCGTCTTCTCCGCCTCCTCCGCCGTCTCCATCTCCTCCATTTCCTCCATTTCATCCATTTCCTCCTATCTCCTCTTTCTTCCTTCTTCTTGATTGCATGAATCGGCGGCAACGGGTAATGCATGGATTCTTCAATGAACCTTCTCTTTTCTTCGTTCTCTTGTCTTCGTCGCTTTCTTCTTCCTTCTTCTCTCTTCTTCTCTTTTCTTCTCCTCTCCCCTTCCCTTTCTCTTTCTCCCTTTTCCGCCTCCTCCGTTCTCTGTCGTGCAGTTTCTGCTGGCTCTGGCACGTGGAAGCCATGGCCGGTTTGCTGGAGTTTGCTGTCTTGTTCCCCTTCCTCTCCGTCTCTCATGTCTAATTAGTCTGCCACCCACTTATGGTAGTACGCTCTGGAGTGCTTTTTATTTTTTAGTTTATTTTTTGGATGAAACTCAAGATTTCTCGAATGGCTTTTATGAACCAGGAAATAAAGCCAGAATGGTTGCTCCTAAAAAAAAAAAAAAAAAAAAAAAAAAAAAAAAAAAAAAAAAAAAAAAAAAAAAAAAAAAAAAAAAAGAAGAAGAAGAAGAAGAAGAAAAAGAAGCAAAAGAAAAAGAAAAAGAAAAAGAAAAAGAAAAAAGAAAAAGAAAAAGAAAAAAGAAAAAGAAAAAGGCTAAAAAATAGTACAGGGAGCAAGGAACCGAGAGGACAGGGAGTGAAACGGGCATCCTCCCATCCAATCGCGTTGGGAGCGGGGGCTGCGTGCTCACAAATACGCTATGTATCACTTGATCGGCACGTCTAACGCGCTCGGTCTCAAGGTGCGCAACTTATGGATACAACTTCTTCGCAATCGATCATCGCTTTTACTATCATTCTGCCCGGAGGTGAACTCCTTCGATCATTCATGCGACTGTCTTATACTCCATTCTGGTGAAGGAGGACGTGGCATGACAGATGACGTGGACGAACTTGGTGATGGCTGACGTGGCGCTGAAAACTTTCACAGTCTTGAAAGTGGACAAGACTACATGCATTTATCGAACGTTGATAAAATTGTGAGAAGCAACACTTAGTAAGTCCTTTCCTTCCCATCTGTTAATCTGCTTTTACTCTCTCTTCCCTGTCGGAGCCGTCGCCAATCTAGGTATACGGAAGGGGGAAACTATAAACTTTGGAGATGCAATTTTTGTCTTCTTTTTTAGGTTAGGAATCAAATATAGAATTACGATCGAGCTCTTAGACCTCTTTCCTTTTTCATTTTAAGGCTCTCCTTTTCATTTGATAGAGTAGAAGAAGTACAAGTAGAAGAAAGGAGAAACAGTATAACTGACTCATCTGGACACATAACCGTGTGTTACCACGACGCACGCTGTGGGATAAAGTTCTTAGACTTTCTTTTTCAAGCTTTCCTTTTCATTTCACCTGGCATCGCTTTTACTATCGCTCTAGCCGGGGGGAAACTCCTTCGTTTTTGCTCATGGGCACTCATGCGATGATATTATACTCAAATCTGATAATGGAGTACGTAGCATGACAAATGACGTGGACGGACCTAACGGTGGCTGACGTGGCGTTGAAAATTTTCAGAATCTTGAAAAGTGTACAAGACTACATGCGTCAATTGAGTATTGATAGAACTGTATGAAGCAGCACTTAATAAGCCCCTTCCTTCCCATATCTCGATTTGTTTTTCGTTCTCTCTTCCCTGTCGGAGTTGTCATCAATCAAGGTATTCAGAAGGGGGAGACTAGAGAATTCGGAAATGCAATTTTTGTCTTCTTTTTTAGGTATGGGATTGAATATAGAATTAAGATCGACCTCTTAGATTTTTTTTTTTTTTTTTTTTTTTTTTTCCTCAGAACAACTTCGTAGGACACTACTTTTCCAAGCCCTGTTAGGTTATTCTTTGTAACCATCTCTTTTTCATCCCTGACCCTCTACATCATCCCCACGGATAACTAGTTGGAATCATTCAGGAAAGAACCGTCTTCTCGTCGTATTGTTCAGCATAGAAAGTAGAAGACATGGCGGTTGGACAGCAATCGACCATCTCGCCAGCTGAGGAGAAACAATTGAAAGACATGATTTCAAATTGCTTTCTCACCGGCGACGAGAACCCGGATCTGGCTCGAAAATACATTCGATTTGGAATTAACCCGACACAGAATACCTTGGAAATTCATCTGGACAATAAATATGAAAAACTCCAGATAGATCATCTCAAATCGCACGGGGTTATGGTGTTGTTTGTGAAATGTGGTCCGGATATGACTTTCCAAGAGAAAGAAGGTTGGGTTAGACAGGCTGAGTCCAAATGGGACGATTTGTTGACTGGGGGATTGAATGGAAGAGTCAAACCAGAAGGGGCATCCGTGATATCTTATCTCGCCCCGACCATGCGGCTACGAGACTGGTTGATCAATGACTTGGGGGAAGGGAAGATTAAATGGCAGGGAGGGGAATACAAAGTCAGATTTCGCCCTTGGCTGACCCCCAATGAATTGAAATGGGACAGACAGGCTGAGCAAGAAGGGAGATATTGGATCAGGGTACTCAAAGTCCCATATCTAGCCCTCAATTCATTACAAGCGGCGATTGAATCTCAATATGGTCGGGTCATTCGCGCCCAGCCTCTGGAGAAGCGCAAAAATGAACCGCGCCTGGTCAATCACCGTTATGATTTGGAGATGGCAGCTAGAGGGAAAATACTACCCACGATCAGCATCCACAACACTGAGGGATTACTGAAACTCGAAGTCGTCACTCAAGATACCCCTTGGTGCTCAGTCCATAAGTGGTATGGCCATCCTTTGGTCAAGGGTCGCTGTCTGGAGAACGTGTCGTCGGACCAGTGGCCAGACATTATCCGTCAGGCTGCGGAGGAAGTACCAACACAGGAACGGAATCCAAAAGGCCCCCTCAATGATGCAAAAATGAGGAATGCACGAGACACGACGAAGAAAACAGACAAATGGACGAAATCTAGATTGAACGAATCCCGTGCGGCCAGAGGAGATACCTCATCCCCGTATCGCAGGTCTGGGGTTAGAGNAAAAAAAAAAAAAAAAAAAAAAAAAAAAAAAAGAAGAAGAAAAAAAAAAAAACAGCAAAAGGAAGGTCTCGGTTTTCGGCCGCGGCCAGTTACGTACGCAGCGCAATGCTAGGAAGGCAATGTTGGTTTAATGCCATGCACATCTGTACCTGACCGTCGTCGTGGACCAGGTACGTCGGTCGTACAGTAAGCTCTCGGTATAAACCCTCCTTTCGGTGTTGGGAGGAACATTCACTTACAGTATTATCATTCTTATGGTGAAAAAATTAATCATAATTTACATGATTTAATTAAACATTTGATTTACAAATATTTAATTCAATTTCTCAGAGATGCTAATTTCCCCGCTTCCTAGCGCACACCTCTTGGCCCCCCGCCCGCCGTCCCATTTGTCGTGGTCCCAATCATTGGGGATTCTGCGGGTCGGGACCGACGACGATTCTGCGATCCCGTCCATCGATCTACTACGTTATCTACGGTCAGGATCACCTCATCATGAGGACAATCGGGACCTCACCACGTGGTGTCCCATTTGTCGTTGAACATGTTTTTTTTGTTAATACTAATAGTATTATTATTATTATTATGATTATATTATTTGAAGCTGTTTTCTTGCCGAGGGTATAGGGATTGACATGACATGGCGTGGCTTATGGGTCAATGCCAGCCCGCGGATTTTATTATTCTTTTAAATTTTAATCGGACTTTCATCATTTATACAGCTGTATGAATGAAAGTCCGACCGATTAAAATAATAATAAAATAAATCGGATTCATTGGTATGAACGTACGCAAGTCATATTACAGTAATAAACCCGCATTCCGATAAACCTGCGGGTTTTCTTCCCCTGGCCCGACCACAGAGAAATGAGGGGGGAGCACAGAAAAAGGAAAAAAAAAAAGGGAAAAAAAAATCTAGGCTACCAGCCGGACCGCCCGGGTCGCTTTATTTGCCCGGCGGCCCGGCCGTGCAAGGACCAAAGAAGGTCTCAGCAAAAAAAACAAAAAAATAAAAAATAAAAATGAGCACAGATAAATGAGGGGGGAGCACAGAAAAGGAGAATCGAGAAGGAATAGAAGAAAAGACGTGGCAAAAAAATGCCCACGCAGAAAAACTGAAAGCACATGTTTCAACGCGCCCATTTCGTCCCCTCCTCTTCGCTCCTCCCCCTTCTTTTGTTTTTTACCTTTTTTTTACCTTTTTTTTTTTTACCTTTTTTTTTACACCGGGCTCAGTGCCTTTTTTCTTCTTTTTTTCCCCGCTATCTTTTCACGTATGGGACAGCCCTTGGCACGCGAAACTGATTGAGCTGGCGGACTTGACGTTTTTTTCCCCCTCTTTTATTTATTTTGTTTACAAGGACGAGGCTCAGCCTCAGGTTGAGGGCTGGGGCCTGCTGCTGGCCCTTGCCTTTTTTTTTTCTTTTTTCTTTTTTAACGTGCTCCAATCTATTCGTGGGAAGCCTTTGCTTAAACAATGGTTTATTGCATTGTGTACGGCCTTGGGCCCTGGGCCCGTTTGAGGAATAAAAGCAAGTTTTATTAAAAGAAAAAAAAGATCGGAAACTACTACGTAGGATATTTTTTTGGTTCTTAAAAAAAAAAAAAAGAATGTTATTTCTTGTAGTACATCCAACTTTGAGGCTTTTTTTTGTTTTTTTTTTTTTGTTTTTTTTTAAGGTATTGTGAGGATTATCTTGAAATTTCAACGTGTGAGC